TTTTCAGTAGGCGACCTTTTGTATTCGCATATAAAATTACTAGTACTAGCTTTCCTAGGTTCAGTTCAAGTGGAAAGATATTACTAATTTTGCTCTGTGCGGTTATGCGCTTTCAATGCTAACTGCCTCTTTAAGGTAGTAGAAAAGCATCCGCCGTTGCAAGTGCCATAAGAAACGATGGTTTGGAAAAGAGACTTACTCTAGGTTTACGTGTAGTACGTGCAGTTTACAGAGTGGATGGCATAGCTGGGTTTTATCGGTATGTTAACATCTTATAAATAGGGTTTTGTTTATAAGCTATTGTTTCGCATAAAAAGTAGTCGTTAGACCCAACATTTCTACAAATGATATAATTTGTGTATGTTTTTAACAATGTTTCGCAGTAGTGTATCACAAATTTGTTCACTGTCTGATTTTTTTTTGGAGAAGAAAATCGAACAGAAAGAAAATAAAACCGGTTGTACATTTTTCATTTTTGTAGCAGCTCTTTTAATTATTCAGTGGTTTCCTCTCTGCTGTGATGCTCTATATTCCATCAACTATGGTGTTTTGGTCTACATACTACCATGCATTGGCAGGTTTCCGATTCATCCGCGTGAAGGTCGTTTCATTTGCAAATAGATATTTATTTAGTAAATGAACCGCAGTTTAATGTTTTCTTTTGTTTAAAATTCTTCTTGCTGGTTTGATTATCATACATTTTGTTTTCAGGTCACGGAAATGGAGAGTGGGATGAAGCCAAAAACGACTGCTGAAGTTGACAATCGTAATCTATTCCTGGATCAAGTATGCTTTTTACTTTTTTTACTTTCATATTTCAAGCCCTTCCTATTCTTTTTTTGATTTTTTGTACGGCTTGCTTTTACAATCATTATCTAGGCAATTTCTGGATCAATCGGTGGAATTGCTTCTGCTTGCGTTACCAATCCATTAGAAATGCTTCGTATTCGCTTGCAAGTCAGTGTTATATTATAAGCTTTTATTTATTGGGATCACTGGTTTGTATTTTAGGTTCATCGCACCAACTACACTGATACCATCAAACGATTGTGGAGGTATGAAGGGTCGAAGGTTCTCACCAAGGTACAAACCCTTTGACTGGATTTCTTTCTTTCCTTCAGTCTTTGCTCGTACATGAGATTGGTGCTGCTGAAGTTGGAAACTTATGACAGAGGATCAGGTTGACTTAAGTTTCCAACTTCGTTTTAATCTGGACTGTGCATAAGCCCTGGCCCCTGAAATTGACTTTTTGTACTTCTTAGACCGGACAAGTTCAAAAAGTCAATGATAAGGAACGATATTGTTTGACGCGCAGCATTGATACGGGTTTGATTGAATAAAACATAGTCCAAATGTGGGTTTTTATAACTGCGCTTGCATGGTTTAATTGGCAGCCGCCTACATTCCGGGCGAGAGAAGTGCTGCGTACAGCTGAAGGGCACTGAGGTAGCAGTCGCGGTCGTCAGTTGAGTTTATTGAAGATATCCAGTCGAAGAGACCGCAACATCAGCACCACGTTCAAATGATCAGTGTATCGCAAGCGTGTACAAACCATGTCCGAAGGCCATTACTAACTACTTTGAGAGCGCGTTAAATCTTTAGCTCTTCAATCTATCCTTTTCTTGATATTCGCTCGAAGCGCAGCATGATTTTGTGTTATTTAATATAGTTTTTATTTAGGGACTAGCACCTCGAGTTGTCAGTAATGCACTCTATTCGTCTCTAGTAATGTTGGCGTACGAGACAGTGAAGAAGCTGTGCGTCCTACCTGAATATCGAGATCATGTGGTTTGGTGACTTATCAGTACTTTTCTGTTAGCTTTTGGTATTTCAAATTGATAGGTGGACCTCTGTTGTTGCCTTTCACTCCTCACTTTCACATTGTTACTAAGTCGAATGATATAGTAATCTTCTTTGCTGAAATTTTGGCCCAGTCTTCTTGCAGACTAAGTATTTGGATCCCATTTGATGTAGAGGCCTAATAGTTGCCAAGACACATGTGTGCAGTATTCTGTATAATCCTAATGGGCTGGTTCATTGGTATCTCATCTTTGCAAATAAGGATATTTTCCTAACAAAACTTATGCCATTGTTGACTAAGATATGATCTGTTGTAGATAATCTAAGTTATTGCTATAGATTTACTCGTTCTAATTAAACTAGGTATTTGTTGAGGTTGTGTTTCTTTGTCATTGCAGCTAAAGCTGGAAACTCGTCATAGTTATGTAACCATGGGGTCTTGCCAGAGTTTTCGAACTTGCACTTCCACTTATTGCTTTCACGTACAGGTAGTGAATGTACGATTTTTTTTTTCTCGATAGATCGAACGTACGACGTCAAAAGTGATATTCATGCCGTATCCATGTGTTTTATCTGCACTGGAATGCATGGAATAAAAACTTGTTCTCTACGGTTTCTGACGATCATGATTGTGTAGCCTGTACACAAATTTACTCTTTTACAATTTGTTTCTGTGATTATATAGTTACATCCGTATTAGTTGGTGATAGTGCCAGTTAAAAATTTATGTTGGTTCGAGGCACTGAGCTCACTAGATTCGAAGTGCTTCTATGCAGGCCTTATCACAGTTATGAGTGAATCGGCGGTGGTCGGTCGCTCGATTATTTGCCTATGAGTAGGGTGTAATGGCTCAATGATTTCTACAACCAGTTTGCAAAGGGATCAAAGCTCATTCTGCCTTTAACTTGTGAACTTTGATTTCATTGAGAATTTGCTGTTTTTGATAGATGGCTGCATCTCGAGGACTATCCAGGTTCGATCGAGTCAACCAATGGTTGCAGTTTGCGAGGCAGTGGCACATAGTTGATGCTGATCATCAGGTGGGTGCTAAAATTTGACATCTAATCTCAATTGATTCGCAGAGCTAAAGGGTTCCCTTTGTAAGCCCCATTGTTCCCGTGCAGCTTAATAGGAGGGTGTGCTGTCTGCTATTAATTCATTATGTCTGATTCGTGGTTCCATTTTATTTACCCATTTTTCCCAACTACGCTGCCATTACGTTTATTTCTTTCTACTCTGTGGTAGGTACAGTGTGTTTGGTTGTGTCACCAAAAATTGTATTTCAGGATGCATTTAAACTGGGCAACCACGTTGCAAAACACTTAGCCGGAAAACACAAGCCAATATGGCATCGAGAAACGGACTGCGGTGATCATGTGGTGGTTGTGAATTGTCGACATGTGGCTATGCATGGATTTGATTGGAAGCACACTTTATATCACTTCAATAAGGTATTCTAGCACTTCTATCTTTGACCGCGTGAACATGCTGTTCGCCAGAAAGTTTGTCACTCAGCTTATAACCTCTCATCTAAGCGCCTCAGAACTTGAAGCTGTGTGGCGTCGGTATCTGCCCATTTTTATAAAGCTCAGCTAAGGCACCGTATGATGTACATTTTATGCCTTGTGCATTGGTTTACCATTGTTGTGATATATCATCAAATTTGCCTGGTGAGATACATCGTTCCGTAAAGGCATGCAGAACAATGTTCATGGCTGTGACATGTCGCCTCACACAAGCGATAGCTAACCTACAATGGGCTAGTTACTTGAGGCTTTGATGTTTGTAGCCTTCAAATTGCACCGCGATGACATCTGGCCTAATCTTCTTTTCTCCTTTTGACTTTATTCTTTTAAGGAGTACCCAAAATCAAAAGTCGACATTCCCGCTTACGAAATACACGAATATGATCCGTGCCGAATCGTTTATCTTTCAGTTTATAAGGTATGTTTACTTGTCCGGGATTCTCAAAGTTTGTCTTATGCTTCTGTTGAAACTGTATTTGTAGTCTTATCATTCGAATATTCAGGCACTAGGAAATAATGAGCTTCGCCGTCGTCACATTCAGCGGCTTCATCTTTTCCCGGACATGGAGATGCCAGATTTCGTGCGAGAAAATTTGGGCAGTCAGGTATGAACACCCCAAATGGACCCATGAGCTTTATCATGCTCGTCCAGTCAAAATTTCTTTCTGGCCAACCTTTTCCAGGCCATATTTTAGTTGCAACACTACTTCGTTCGTAATGAATGAAGTCTTAGGGCAATTCATCCGCAGATGACTTGCTACTGTTGGGGCATGTGAGATCCATTAGGGTTTAGGCAACTTCATGCCTTGAAGCCAGGTGCTTTAGAAAGCTCGGACGGTACTCCCGAAGAACAGTAGAGAGCTAGCGGCGTTAAGAACGGATGCACTGAAAGAAAATTATTTTATTTGTCACCTATTTTCCATCATTTGCTGGCTGGCCAACCGACATCATCTCCAAGTTCACGGTTACAATGCTCGCCTATGGGATTGAAGAGAAACGTTGGAGGTCTTTTTTCGACAAGTCTGAATTTTGCTCGCTCTAACTCATTTGCATTTGCAGTTGGATCGTTTTGGAACCATACGCGCTTGATGCTTCTGATCTTGAATCTAGTTCAATAGGAACACACTTGACTATTGCTTACAGCAGCCGTTAACGGAATTTCAAAGCATACGCTACTCGAACCTTAGGGTGTTCTGATATTGTTTTCAGGGAATCTGTCTTTTTTAATTTGTTTTCTGGTGTCTTTCATTGATATATGGGCCTAACAATGTGCTCATCAAGTGAACGATATTTGATTTGTTACAGCTGGAACAAGTTCAGCGAGTTCCAAAACGAAGTGACGAATACACTCCAGAAGAGCGTGCGAATTTCCCCAGGCTTATAAGGTAAAGGGTTTTCCACTTTTCTAGATTGAGAAGCTGAGTTTCAAGGGAAAACTACCTTCCTTGTTGATCTATTACAGCTTGGAACAGATTCTCTGTTTTATTCTTGTATGAGCCTAATCGAAAAAAGGGCTTAGGGAAAGTAGTTCAAGAGGATTGACATATTTATCATAGCAGTCTACATAGTTGCCGCAGTAGTCAAATCTACTGATTTTATGAAAAGTAGTGGCAATGAGTGAAGTAAGGTGGTTGGGTGATCACTATATCTACGCATGGACTCACACTCGAAGGTGTTTTTTCTCCTAAGTTGAGATTGATCCCCCGAGCTAGCTGACGAGAACTGTATTTTCAAAAACTTTTACAAAAACGGCTGAAAACTGAAGTCAGGTTCCAATAATTTGCCCCAAAAAAAAAGAAACGATTCTATCTGGTTGTGTGGTTCACTTTCACAAAATTGTGTCGTTATCGCTTTTGTTATTGTTACTGTTATTATAGATTCCCACCTGATCACGTCGTGGAGTGGGAACGAAGTATTCCAAACCCGGGTCGGTACGAAAAGCCAGCCTGGGGCAAGAAATAAACTGCTCATATTATAAAATTTTTTTCCCAGAAATTTCAAATTGTTGTGTGGAAGTTGTTGTTACTTTGTTGTCATAATTTCCATGCTGTGCTGAATGTACATGTATCGGTTTGATTACAATACAGCAATACTCAATGGAGAAAGCTTTCAATGAATATAAATTCAATTTTCCGAGCATGCACATAATTAAGCCTTATGTAAGGGCATGACTTTTGTGATCATAACTGCCAAGAACAAAAAAAGCATCAAACTTCACTTCGTGGCATTTACGCGTAGTGGCTGACTGCTCAGTACGGTACATGACAGCTGTCTAGACATTATTTTTGGATCCTTCTGCTTGCGAGATTGTCAACTTAAGGGGAGTCAAGTGCTCCATTTTACTATAAGCCGAAACTTTGGGTTTTCGGTCATGACCTTCGCTGCTTCTGCAATCTCTCACAGGAGATGTGGCAAGAAAAAGAAGGGAGTTCAACCAGATAGCGGGGCTCGTGAACGCTCAGATTCGCTCTTTGAGACGGAGCTTGATGGGAGGGTGCAATGAAGGGGGGAGGACGGCGCAGAAATTCTTATATTCACAATATT